TAACCCTACTCCCTAATTTAACAAAGTTATTGTTAATTTCTAATTTTTCAAACATAATAACATAAAAAATTGAATTTTAATTAACCTAAAAACGTAATAGGGATGATTATTTTGATTATACCAACTTGTTTCATTATGATGGAATATCCGAGGAGCGGAAGAGGTGCCCGAAATTTTGCAATTGAGATTTGAGAATTGAGAATGCTCGTTGCGTTCACGTCACACGTCTCCACTCTCCACCACGATCGTAGATTCGCAGCAAGGCAGAAAAGAATTGATGAAGTCCAGAAGTCGGCAATTGAGATATCACGACCGTAATATGTGTTTAATCGACATTACGTATGCTTTTTTTATTGGACTATTGGGCTTAAATCTTAATACCTCTTTGTTTCAATAAATCAATTGGTATGGGCTAGTTTGTATTTTGGTCCATTTAGAAATAACCTGAAACTTTTTAGGGTAGCCCAACTTTTTTCCCGATATAAAACCGCAATATAAAACAAATTTTTTCGAAAAAATTAACACTGTTAAAATTTTTTGAGGGGTATCCTGGGATACAATATAAATCCGCCTATGAAAACCCACGTGGCCAAATCTGTCTCTACTCGACAAATTGGGGCCTCTAACTCGTCAAGTTGCTCAATCAAAACTATGAAAATTAAATAAATATTATAGCTGGGAGTCGGGATGTTACAATTCTCCCCCACTAGAATTAGACTTCGCCCTCGAAGTCATGCTATGGAAAGAACTTTGGGTACTGCTTGCGCATATTGGACTCCGACTCCCAAATCCACTCAGATCCCTTCCGATGTTGCCACTGGACCTGAACCAGGAGCACCTCTTTATTCCTCAAGACCTTCACCATCCTATCCAAGATCGCTATCGGCTTCTCAATGTAATTCAGGCTCGCATCTACTTGAATGTCCTCTCAAGGTACCACCATCGTCTCATCAGCTACACACTTCGTCAGCTGAGACACATGGAAGGTATTATGAATGTGGCTCAGCTCTACAGGTAGCTCCAACCGGTAAGCTACCTTACCCACTTAGGCGATCACCCTGAAAGAACCAATGTATCTGGGGCCCAACTTGCCCCATTTCTTGAATCGAATCATCCCTTTCCATGGGGATACCTTCAGGAGGACAAAATCTCCGACCTGAAACTCTAGCTCGGATCGTCGCCGGTCTGCATGTCACACCCCCGAACCAGAACGGCGGAAACGTCCGGGAGTTGGGTGACTTCATCTTGTAATATCATCACAGTGTATATAATTGGATCAAGACAAACATCATCATCACACATACAATAGTACAACATACTATATACTAGGTTTACATAATTATAATTGTTCACAAAAGTTACATCCCCAAAATAATAAGTGTATGATGGAAACAAAATGCAACATAATCCACAAGTTCCCGAAGACCGACCTGCTTAACGATTCCCAGAGAATACAAGTTATTTTGAAAATGTCAACATATATAATGTTGGTGAGTTCATAAGCATGTTTGTATGAAAAGCTTTGTATTATTTTGTAAACACCAGAAAATCCGATATTTTCTGTAAAAATGGTTTGGAAGTTTTGTGTCAAATCTTGTATTAAAGTATGCATGTTTCTGTTATGAAAATGTATAAAGAGAGTATTCCAGAAAATCCTAGATTTTCTGTTGTAAGTAGAAGGTAGTGTATATTGTATGTTTCCTAAAAAATCCGATATTTTCTGCTTGTAAAAGTGTTGTAGTCTAAAAACCCTAAGACCGAGTAACAATGTATGTATGATGTTGTATCACCAGAAATGTATATGTATTCCTTAAATTTATAGTGGGGTTAATCTCTATGTGAGTCGTTATAATCATGCTTGATATGACTGATCTGCTTGTCATGACGTTTTTCAGGCGTCGACTTGTTTAAGGTAAGACATTTGTCACCCTAGACTAGCCTAGTCTAGCTGTAGCGAACAACTCAGGTGTGGGGTTGTCAACCCCGTATGGATCTACACATGAACTCTCTTTCTCCCTCCATGAGACTCTGGTTAACTACAAGACTTAAGGTTGTACACCAGGTAGGTACGAATGAAAGAACGTCTCACAAGAAACTTAACTAAAGATACGCGAACAATGTATCACATTGTTTTCTGTTTTAAGATAATTTCTTCGAGTATGCATTTGATCACAAAACATTGGTGATGAAAATACCATTTGTTTTTATCAAAGTATCAAGTATAAAATGTGATGTGAAACCCAATAAGAAAATCAATGGGCCCATAAGGCTCATGTAACATGTAATGCGTGTACAGGGCCCAATAAGCATATAATTGGGTCATTAAGTCCCAATAAACATGAAATGTGTATACTAGGCCCAATAAAAGAATGAATGGGCCTATAAAGCCTAAGTAACATGTAAGGAGTGAAAATGACTTAATTAGTTTGTTTGATATTACAATACATCGTTTTAGCTCAATTAATATCAAAATGACATAGTAGGCCCACTTTTCATTAAATTTGACATTCTTGGCCCATTAAGCCGATAATTTACATTATAGTCCCTTTTTGAGAAAAATGACACTTTAGGCCCATTAAGACCGACAATTTACATTTAAGGGCCCATTTTGAATAAAATGACCTTTTCAATCCATTTTGTTAAAAATAACATCTTCGGCCCAATTTTATTAGAAATAACATTTTCAGCCCAATTAAATTGGAAATGACATTTTCGGCCCAAGATTAACAGAAATAACATTTTAATCCATTAAGAGTCAAACATTACCTTTTTAGGCCCATGAAACTGTGAGTTTCTAAATAAGACCCATTTTTGTGAAAATTGACAAATTTAGCCCATTAAAATCGTAAATGCCCAAATAGAAGCCTATTTTGTGAAAATTAACACTTTTGGCCCATTTAAAACCATGAATATCATAAAGATTCATTTTTATCTAAAAATGACTCTTTTGGTCTTCTCCAAAACCGTGAGTGTCATTAAAGACCTCACTTTTTTTGTTTATTTGTCAAAAATGTCACATTATACGTTTTTATTTAGTTTTCAAACATCCTTATCATGTTTAATCCTTTCAACTTCATAGTAAGTCACATAAAATGGTTTAGTTTACAAACATCACCAATTTGAGTAGATATTTCGAGTTTGGTGAAGATTTAGCATGTTTTAATAACATAATGACAACATATAACATGAAAACACACATATACATACATAAATACATAGATCTAACACAAAGTAACTTGTATCCTCCCCCAAACATATTAAAAACCAAAAACAAGGGGGTATGAACTCACCTTGTGCTTGATCGGTTTTGAAGAAGGAGAAAGAAGGAAGTTTTTGGCCTAGCTTGCTTCTTAAGGAGATTTTTCGAAATCAAGATGGTTCTAGGAGCATGAACACGAAATGAGAGTGGTTTAAGGAGAGATTTTTAGTGTAAACTTGAATTTAAACCATAGAGTTAAACAAGAACTTACTAAGTTTGGATCTTTAGTGAGGAACTTTTGAACACCCACATACACACTCACGATATTTGGAAGGGAAATATGAGAGGAGTTCTTTGAGTTTGAGAGGAAGAGATGAGACAATATTGTGTTTGAAATGAAAAATGGATGAGGTATAATGAGAGGGGGTTTGGCCGATGGGAGGAGGAGAGAGAGAAGAGAGAGGCTAGTTCTTGAAGTATGTTAGATAAAAATGCAAGTGTTGGATGTATGGGAGGTAAATACATGGATATCCTCCATAAAATATGGAGGTGGCAAACAATCATCATATGCAAATATTTTTTTTTTTTTTTGTATATAGGGCTGAGAATTTAGAGAGGGAAAGAAGGAAATTTGGTGTTGGGCTTACATTGTGCATATAAAAGTCAAGAGTATGTGAGCCCAATAAGGATTTTTGGCCCATTGGGCCGACATATGTGTTTACAGCCCAAATGACGAAGGAAATGGGTTTTCAACCCATTAAAAACTAAACAAGTGGTTTTCGACCCTATAAGGCCCATGATGAGTCTTATGGCCCAAAATCAATTATGTAGTGAATATGGGTTAAATTAGGGACCAAATGAGGTATCTAAACCTAATATAATCAAGTTGAGGGTTTATTGGCCCATTAGGCCCAATAAGAGGGTTCTGGTCCAATAAGAGTTTGAACTGGGAAGTTAGGGTTACAACCCAAAGTCAAGTGAGTGTAGTGCATTGAATTGGGTTTAGGGCTTCATGAGTGAGTTTTGATTCGAATAGTTGTTTTTGAAATGAGCACATGTATAACATCAATCTTATAGTTATAAGATACTTCCGAAGTTGATCATACATAGATAGAATTTTCCTAGCCAAAAATGCTAGTTGTGACATCATCCTCCCGTTAAAGGGAATTTCATCCCGAAATTCTTTTGAAAGTTATTCTTAGGAACTAGAGAAAATGTGAGGGTACTTTTGCATCATTTGGTCTTCGTGTTCCCATGTGAATTCTGGTCCGTGCTTTGTGTTCCATTGAACCTTCACAATCGGAATGTGGCTTTGTTTTCCATCAATACTAGAAAAACAGCCTTTTACGATGCTCATTGCGCGTCGTAAAAGGCTCAGACGACGCACAAATGCGTGTCAATGAAGGCCCTGTTATAAAGAGAGACGACACGCTTTTGCGCGTCGTAACCTTACGACACACGTATTAATGACATGCAATGCGTATCATTAAAACCCCTGTCAAGAAAGGCCATGTCATAAATGAAGATGACACACATTTTTGCATATCGTAATTTTGAATGTTAAAAAAATATATTATTTATGTATTTGTTAATTTTTAAATTAAATTTGCATTTAATGTCTCATAATAAAAATACAATACCATATACAAAAAATACAATCAATTGCATAAAATTTAATGTCATACAATTGTATTTCTTACAATATCTAAATTAACATCTAATCTACTCTGTACATCAAATTCCAACTAAGTAAAGTTGCATCTTGCCTTTCATAATTATTTAAAACTAATGCTCCAGGCAGCTAATTATATGGATAAGTAGTTGTATATTGGCCCATCTCACTCAAGAATGACTTAGCTAAATTCAACTCCAAGTCTTTACTGCATCTTGCTGATAATGCTGCAAGATTTGTATCAAGTGGCTTCATATTCCTTTCTTCCATCAACATTACCTGATGCACAAAATACACAGAAACAAAAAATCATTGTAGAGGAAGGGGTAATTTGGGAAAATGTGAGGGGTATCCTCTGCAAAACAAAACAAAAAATATCCTCTGCAAGATTTGCTCGTTAGTATCCTCTACAAAACAAAACCAAAAATATATATCAAAAGATGGAAGTATGAAAGATTTTGATTTATGTAAATGTTAGATGAATAGATGATCAACATAAGGGCTTAAAAGTATACCAGAAATTTGCAAAAGTTTGAAACTTGCCTGATAAGTTCACGAAGGAAGGCCTCTTTGTTGCTGTATAATTGTGTATGAAATTGTTGTGAATAATAGGTTAAAGGATCTGAATTATATATTATATATAAAATATAAAATGCTAATTTACGGCTTCATGAAAGAGAACCTGAGGTTGCAAATGCCCTTTTTCACACATTGAAACCACATCCTCCCATCTTCCAATTACCTGTTACAATATCTCGTTACTTTTTTCATTTCAACAAACATCATAATTCATAAAGTATGCAATTTAATTACATAAATAAAATAAACTACATTCTTTTTTCTTTGTTTACTTTCATTTACTTTTCTAGTTGTACATAACAAACAACATGTTTGAAAGAAAGTCTGATGATTGTAAAACACATACATATATATACATACATACCTTGACAGTTTTGTCATCATACATGACCCATCGTTGACGAGCATGGCTGTATGCAAAACAATGATAATGCTGCCCATAATAGCATACCTTAAAAGAACAACAATAGTTAGATAACTCTTTATAAAAAAAATATTTTTTTAATTATAATTTATAAAAAGAGATGAGGGATTTGTACCACTGAAACAAGGGTGCGCCTGTTGTTTGGGTCAAGTCCACGATAAAGAACACTTAAATCAATTTCTGTAGATAAGGCTGCCAATGTCACATTTATATCTTCAACAATTTCACAAGTATTCTGCCATCCAAGTACTACACAAACAAAATAAAACTGTTTAACAAAATTCATAAAAACAAATTTCAAGAAAAATAAAAATAAAAAATACTTGTTGTGAAAATATGAGGCGGAGTAGAAAGAATATGATGAATGTAGTTAAGCTTCCCACAACCACCATCCTGGGGATCACAACCTAATTGGTGATTCATTTCAACAAGATTAACAGCTCATCCAAACAGCTCTTTGGACATATAACCTAAATAAAATAAAATAATATATAAATAAATTCTATGCATGAAAAGTAAGTAAAGGGTTAGGGTTAGACGAAAGTGAGAAACATAACAATGTAACATACCTTCACGGTGTAAACAATCAAATATCACTCCCAACACTTCAGAAGCATCATTCATTTGTGCCTGCCAAATCACATCATCAATTAGTCTTATAATTTATTTTATAATATAAATATAAATATAAACATGTAATGTTTTTTACTTTATAATTTATTTAATAATAGTAACACTTACCTCTTGAAAAAAACTACTATGTGGATACAAGTTGCCGAGAGCGATTCTAAGAGCAGTAGGGGCAACAGCTTGAGATTTGGAGTCTGTAGAAGTTGTGTTTAAAGCTTTAAATATATCATGTAATGCGCATGTCACGCACGGATCGCCAACATGGAGATGTGCTGACTTGGACGTGCTCAAAAACTCCTCGCGGAAACGTCCCAAATGCGATAAAGACTGTAATATTATAAAAGGATTTTTTTTTAAATTAGAATTGATACGTGAGAAGAGATTTGTAGAACTAATTTTTTTTTTTTTATATAAAATAAAATAACCTGTATAATAACATTTAAAAAGCAGTTGTATCCACCAACAAGAACAACTTGATACAAAAACATTCCAAAATATATTAAAACAGTTAGACTTGTAAAATAACTCATAAAAGTTAGAAAAACTAAATATTCCAAAAATACGCCTAGGACTCTTTTTGTCCCAGAATATGAATTAAGCCAACAACGGAATCTAAAATTTGCCAACCGAGGATCTCCGGAACCAACACATGCAAATGTTCCAGAACCCCCATCTAAACAGTTGAAAATGGTGAACTTTCCACTTTGGGATGATATGGTTTCTCCAACCATTTGTCTACATTTTTCAGCTGAAAAAAATGGAATATATAAGAAACATGGAACAATGAACTACTAAAATAAAGAATACCCTAATCACTAAACTGTAAAAACAGTCATGTGGTCCGATTTTGACCTTTTGTAATGACTATTTTTCCCTTGGACATATTTAATCTCCACTATTATACGATAAAAAGTACTAGAGGTAAAGTAATTGTGTGGACAATCCTACATTTTCATCTCTCTCATCAGTCATCACGAACCTTCTTGACAGATTTTAAACTGTAACTGTCTATTCCTAAATCCAAAGTGGTTAACAAACAAGGGACAATTTAGACATTGAATTAGTGCAATTAAATGACTCTGACATGAACAAACATAAAGTTAAAAACTTTAATAAACAGTTTTTAAACAATATTAGAATACACACCTTATCATGAGTTTTTAGACAAAATTAGATAAGATAAACTTACCCAAATAAAAATAGAAATCTGAAATAACTAAGTAGCAACCCTAATCAGATAAAACTAATTCCTAATTTCAGGTTTTTTCATAAAAATGACAAACAATTGAATACACACCTGAGAGGGAAGTAATACTAATCAACAAAAAGTAATAACTTAGTACTAACCCTAACAAAATATATAGATAAATTACCCAAAAGTTGTTTCCCTTTCTTCTTGGGTATGTGTTTGACCCAAACACAGTTTTTCTCTCTAATATGCTCGACTCATCTTCATGGATTCCCTTATCAGGGTTCGTCTTCAATTTTTCTGCCAACTTTTTAACCTGTCATGTTCATGGATGGAAAAGAAAATCATAATCTTATTTATAGGATGATGTGTGTATGTGTGTGTGTGAGAGATAAACATAGTGGTATACTTACATTTCGTTACAAATAATAGCAAATTAGCAATGCACTTTATTTTGTTTCCCGCAAATAGCAATGTACTTACATTTTCCCACAAATATTTGGCATTTATAGGTATTGAAATGTAAGTATGTTTCTTTTGTGAGTTATATATTGCTATTATATATACCTTTTAATTGTCAGGATATGGCATAATTATGGGTTTGGTCCCTATACTTTTTAGTTTAGAAATATTGCGGATAAAATATAAAGCTAATTGCCCACATTGGTAAAAAGAGTAAAAAAAAGCTGCTAATTCCTGCAATTTGTTGACATTATAACTAAATATAGAATAAATATTTACCATCAGCATTTCATCATCAAGTTTGGCCACTTTTGGAAGGTATTGTTTTGAAAGATTGTGAATATTAGCTTGAGTGATTCGCCTCATTTCAAAAATTATGGAGTCCATGTGAGAAGAGGGAACAAGTAATACCGTTGTAAATGAAAGAACTAAATGATTATCCTTCATAATAAGAATCTGAGCACTGGTTTCTGTTCTTATAGTTTGATCAGATGAGACAAGGAGACGAGCTGTTCCTATACATACAAATTGAATCTCTGCCAACTATGCACTTGACTAAAATACCCCTGCATCAGAACATGCAAAATCAGAACCCAAAAGTACATTGGTACCTCTTTCATGTCATGTATATTAACATATGTAATGTTACATGTATTACAATTATATATGCATACATCAAATTATCAATACAAATGTGAGACTATAAACATTCAGCTTGCTATGAAAACCTTGAAAAATACTAAGATAATCTCACGAAAACCAATTCTTACTTTGAAATGTATGTGTTTTCTTTGATCAAATGTTTGCACTTATAGATCACATACATCATTCCAGTAACTTTCTATTACAGTCAATCCGTAACAGTAACGGCCATGATAGGCAAAATAAACCAACTGATAAACATAGTAGAATATGCTTTATGAAAACATACACATGAACATGAAAGTTTAAAAATCCATTCTTGGATCCGATACCACCAGTCACCAAAAAAATATTCAGAGAAAATTTTAAAAATCTATACTAATAGAAGCTTAACAGTGAGAAGACGGTCTGATTCACCTGTCGTTCAATGAAATGATTCAAACACAAGCCCTAATTTTAAAAGATGATAGCTGGGGTCCAACAAGAAAAACTAGAATAAAAGACTCAACTTGTAACCTTTTAAGTAATAGCACCAAAGCAGCTTCTGATTAACCAGCCATAAAAGCAAGCAACAAGATCAGTCTCCCTTGCTTCTAAAAGAACATCCTTCAGTGAGTCTTGCACTTGGCTGGCACAACACCATCTGGCAATTTCCACATGCCAAACAAGTTGCTCTAGAGCATATCATCCCAATACAACAATACACTGTCCATTCCACACCAAACAAGTTGCTCTGGAGCTAGGGTAGAATGTAGAAGAAACAAAAACAAGAAATTATTATATAAGGAGAGATAATGAAACCTGATTGAATCCTTGAAGTTGCAGGGACATCAAACTGAAGACAGGAAGAAGAAACAATTTATTTGTGAGAGAAGACACATGAAGAATGTACCTTTTGGGAGTGAACCAAGAATGAGTAGGATCAGATGGGTCTCCTAGATGGGCGGCGCGTAGGTCAGCGACAATGGCGGAGAGGAGAGATGGGTTGGAGGAGAAGGCGGAAGTGCGTTCTTAGGTTGATGGCGAGCTTCAGATTTGATTTCGTTCCAGACCCAGTTGCATTCGTTTTCTCAGCCATTGACGGCGGTTTGTGGAGACGATGATGGCATCGTGGACTACGATATGGCGTTCCGATCTTGAACCGGCCGGTATCTTGAGATGGCGGAAGTGTGTGCTTAGGTTTCTAAATGCACTCCAAACTCTTAAAGCTTATCGGGTTCGATGTTAGTGGTGGTAGCTTAGGGCTTGCAGAGAGAGAGAGAGAGAGAGAGAGAGAGAGATAGAGAGAATGCAGAGGTAAAGGAAGACGAGCCGATTTAAAAGGATTTGCTGATTCAGAAGGATTATTAGGGTTCTATTGTAGGATTCTAGTGTGGATTGAGTTTTTAAGGTTCAATGGCGGTGGCAGTGGCGATGGCTTAGGGTTTACAGAGAGAAGGAAGGAGTGAATGAAAAGGGAGATACTGAGGAGAGAGGGTAGAAGCGGGGTTCTTCAAAATTTTAGAATTTCAGACGATTTTGTTTTCCCCTTTAAAAAAGCGTGTTTAGGCAAAAAAATATATATAAAGCGACACATTTAGACGATGCACACTTTATGAAATGCGCCCTCCGCATTTCTTTTTTTTTTTTTTTCTTTTCTTACACTAATTTTAGGGCACTCACAAATGCGTGTCCACTATTCTTCAAATTTTGCAAAATTGACATTATTTTTTAGGGCACACACCAATGTGCATCCTCTATTAACGAGTGTCATTGTTTGCGCGTCATTAAAGGGCTGTTTTCTAGTAGTGCATGCTTCACTTCCCTGTCCATTATCTCAACCGGCACTTCGACGAATATGAGATTCTAGTTTACTTCGATCTCATCCAGGGGAATAACGAGGGTTTCATCTGATAAGCACTTTTCAGATTCGACACGTGGAACACAGGGTGTACGTTGCTGAGCTCTGCAGGTAGCTACAACTTATATGCTACCAGACTAATTCGGGCAAGAATCTCGAAATGGTCCAACTTACTTCCTGTCTCCTGAAGGATACAACACGTGATTGATGGAAATAGGTTGTGTAACATACATGTTCAATTATCGTGTATTGTAAATTATAAAAGTGAATAATATTATGAAATATTATGTGAATTTGAATGTTGAGTTCTAACAGATGGTTTTTACTAGAAATAAAGTAAAACTATGCTTAGAATCATTCAGAAAGTATTGGAAGTTTTATGAGATTCCAATCAAATGTCAAATAGTGAAATTTAGCGAAAATATAAAATTTGAAATAAGTAAAATTTTATTATTTAAAATTTTAAAGAATCTTGTTAGAAAAGTTTAGGCAAAAACCTCGTCAAAATCCAAGTTATAACGAAGAAGTTACGACCAATTGAAGATCTGCGATAAAATCGGCAAACACTATGTTGCGTAAAAAGTGAGTTTCCAATAAACTACTTTTTAGCTTAGTGATTTAAATGGAAGTTGTATAACTCGCTAAAATAATAAATTTTCATATAAAGAACTTTTAAATTTGACTTCGTATGAGGATGTTATGATTTTTCTAAGTTTCAGAATAGTAGTAGACAGCTAAAAACTCGAAATAAAGATCGACCGATATTTAGCCGACATAGCCTAAACGAGAATCGAAGGTCTCGTTAATAGTAGTACAATGGTAAAAAGTATGACAAAAACGGATGTCGGATGAAGAAGTTATGAATTTTTAACGGAGTTTTCTGTCCCGGTCTGTTAAAAATAATAATATTAAAATTAAAGTTAAAATTAGCTGTCGAAGTCTAAACGAAAGTTGTAGAGCATAAGTTTACCTACGCGTGCATATAAAGAACGTCAAAGAGCTCGTATGCGAAAGTTATGGATTTTCGAAGTTCGGGGCACAAAAATCGAGAAAAATGCGAAATCCGAGAAACCTCGCTTGGATAAGGTTCGGCCACGTCACTCTTCGTGCGAGCTTGCCCCGTGTCTTGATCTGATGATGAGTCCGAAGTTGGTCCAATGAGAATCCGACATGTGTTGCCTTTTTATTGGACCGAGGTCGCAGCCCAACTAGCTTCCGGCGTGCCTCGCATCCGGTGGAGCCATTCGACCCTCGTATCCGAGCCTTCCTAGCCTCGCTGCTGCTGTCGCGTGTTCTCTTTTCGGCCGAAGATCTGCGACGAGTCTTCATCTCCTTGCTTCGTATCTGAAGCTCGCAGCTATATATACTATATAGTGGTTGCGAGACCTCCCGGGTATTTTTGAGAAAATTGCCAAATTTCACCCCTAACTTTATATTTCTACTACTTTGACATCCCCCGAAGCCCCAGTATCAACTTTAGCACCCGAAACACACCTAGAAGTGCCCGAAGACCCCGAGAAATTTATCTTTTCGGTTTGAAGCCCTACCTTCGCAGAGCCCAGTTTTCAAGAAAGCTCCCATTTTTTATAGAAGAAAGCTATTTATAGTAACGCAGTGCTGCCCAAATTACTATTTTAACCCCCGGTTACTTCAAAGTGAGTTTAATATATAGGAACAATTGTATGTTATGTGTTATATGTGCTATGTGCTTTTTAGTGTTATTATTCCAGGTTATTTTTATTCGCTACTTTTAATAGCAAAGAAATACCTTTGACCATGTGATCAGTGAAAGGACTTAGATTCACGTTGGTACTAGTATGTAGCCTCTGTCCATGTAGAACATGTCTCCGGAAGAGAATGATTTCTATTCTATGGTGTTGGCAAATGGTTAGACAGGGCTATAAGCCTGAAATCTACCAAAATGTTAATCAGAAATTGTATGTCTTCTGTGCCATTTGGGCCGAAGCTTTATTGATGTATATCAAGTTTGGAAATTGTTATTTCTCATTGATTGTATATCTTTGAATCAAGTCATTGATTGATATGGAAAGTTTGTCACATGATTCATATATGCCTTTGTTATTCGTTGTTCCTCTTTGCTTCTGCCATATTGAAGTATATATATGGCATAACGTTATATTGTATCTATTATTGAACTCACTAAGCGTCACCACTTACTCTCTCAATGTTTTAATATCTTGCAGGCAATAAGCATCCAGTATAGCTTTATACTGTTGGAAGAATTAAAACAGTTTATACTATTACTTTTGTATTTAAGTTTTAGTATGTATAAAATATACAATATCCTGGGTAGTTTTGTAATAAACTTAAACTTAGTCGGTTTGTATCCAGTCGTTTGTAAATAAATTATCAATGTAAAATATTGTTTGTGAATATGTGTGTAGCATGTTTTGGAGTAACAACTGTTTTAATATTATGCAAATGAGGGTCTTTCAATCATGGTATTAGAGCAGTAGTTTGAGTGAACTAAATTCCATGGATTGGTATTTTGACTTAAAGTATTGGAAGTTCAATATATGAATGGATTCATTGTAAGTATATGGGTAGAAACCATAGGAAATATTTAAGTAAAAGTATTAGCTAATGATAAACCCTAATGTTTTAAAATACAATGTTACTCCATATTGCAGAGCAATGGCTGAACAGGTTAGTAGCCATACCCCTGAGGTTGGTGGAGTTCCTCAACCCGAGGAAGTGAATACTCCAGTATCTCCTCGTGAGGAGTGACTCTTGGGTAAACTTATCGGTGTTATTCGATAGACTCTCGAAGAACACAAAAAGAATGGTTATAAAGGAAAATAGAAAGCCACTTGAGAATCTTCAAAAGGAGAGGTGAAGTGTCCATCGTTCAAAGATTTCATGAGTAGTGGTGCTACATAGTTTTCTGGTGTTCTTAATCCAATTATTGTTCTTACCTGGATCCACAACACAGAGAAAGTGGTTCGTATTTGTCATGTGGATAATGAAGACAAGGCTAATTATGCTTCCGCAATGCTCATCGAAGAAGCCTTGGTCTGGTGGGAAGCAACATATGAAGCTCTCAACGGGTTTGACCAGGAGAATTTAGCCTGGGAAATGTTCAAAACTTGTTTTCTAGAGAAGTATTGTCCTCTAGACATGAGGAGGAGATTAGAGAAGGAATTCCTCGAGCTTAAATAAGGAGGAGTGACTGTGAATGAGTATGAAACTCAGTTTAATCAAAGAGCAAGGTTTGCTACAAAGTATGTTCCAACTGAAGATGAGAAAATTCAATTATTCATGGAGGGACTATGACACGAAATCCACGATTTTGTTGCCAATTGAGAAGTTCTGTCATTCGATAAAGCCGTTTAGTATGCTCGAAGACGTGAGCATGACTTAGAAATATGTGGTGCCACTTTTACGAAGCATCCATGTACTGAAAAAACTGTTCCTATTCCTTCTTTTCTACCAGCTCAATCCGTTCGGACTGAACCTGGTAACCAAATGCAAACTCAAAATGCCTCTCGTGGACGCGGTAGATCATAATTTTTTTCTATTCAATCACCTTCATGTCGTGTTTGTGGAAAGAATCATCCTGGCCAATGCAAAATAGATAAGGAATCCATTGTCTGTTATGGATGTTGAGAAACGGGTCATATAACGCCATCTTGCCCAAGAAAAGATGTTACTTGCTATGCATGTGGTATTACTGGCCACAAGAGGCGTTTTTGCCCTACTCTTACTAGTCAAATGACGGGAAGTCAAGCTTCTGTTCAGCAACCGGCGAGAAGTCAAGTCCCTGTTTAACAATCAAAGGGTACTCCAACTAAAAAGGAGGAGGTGCCAAAAGCTAAAGGTCGTGCATTTCAGATTACCTCAGAGGAGGCATGCAAGGACTCGAATGTTGTGACGGGTACATTTATTGTCAACTCTATACCTACTCATATCTTATTTGATTATGGTGCCTCAGATTCTTTTGTGTCTTATGAATTTGCGCATTCCTTTCAAATTGCTTGCTATGTACTCGCGCAACCATTTCACGTAGATACTGCGGGAAGTATATCATTACTTGCGGATAAAGTTTATAGGGATTGTG